CACTCACACCTCATTCTGTCTCTCTCCATAAAAATCTCCCCTAGGCTTCCTGTTTTTCAGGGTTTAAACACAAGGCATACAAAGTATCAGAAACATGCCTGCAACAATTGGTGCCCAATAAAATGTAGCCGAATTTAGTAAGACCATAATCACTTCTTCCCAAGCAGACTTGTGGCCCTGCTTCAAGTGTCACTCTTTCCCATACTCCCAGTGCCATCTTTTGATGTAATGTTTTTGCTTTTTTCTTCTTTTCCACTCAGCACTATTTCTTCTTTCTTAAATTAATGCATTTTAAAGGGATATTTGCAAAATTTGTCAAACCTATTTCATCTACCGAAGGACTAGTTGCAATCACAGCCACAGTGGAAATAAACCCATATGCTTCTATTTAATTAAAAAATAGCAATATTGGAAGTATTGGAAATGTTACAATATTATTGACATTATCAAGACATTTACATCTCTCTCCATATGTGATTAACAACACTTAGTAACCTCTTTGCTCTGTACATCAACATTATTTGAAGCCATAACTGTAGGCTTTGAAATCGCATCCATACTCTTCTGACATTGCACTGTGACTAACACCTCGTCTTTGGCATTTCTTCTCTAACTTGGTTGGTTGGTTATATGCTTATGAGTAGAGCTCAACATACTTTTTTCTCTTTACATTCTCTGTGGTTGCTAGGTGGATGTTTTGTATAGAATACATGCTTAATACAGGTTTTAGTTTTGTAGGACAGGGAATTGAACACAGTGTCTTGCACATATTCCATCAACTAATGCTATCTATATATAACCTTAGCCCCACAAAACAGTTAAGGTTGAATCTACTATTGAGAGTTTTGAACTGAACCGATAAAAAGAGTCTATTCTTCCAAAGTTTGAAAAATCTCTTACAAAACATTTTTTCTCTGTTCTAATTCATTTTTTCTCTGTCTTTCTGAGTTCCTGGATGCATGTGCCTATACCACCATATAGCTAATGATCAAGGAAGCAAACAGGAAGAGGACTCAATGAAAGAAATGTGTCCCTCATGAGCATGCACACACCTGAAGTAAACCCCCAGATTTACAGAGGAAACAAGACCAGACAAAGCAGGGAAAATCTGAATGTGTGATTTATTGTATTTAAGATTGGTCTATAAGGCTTAAATATGTCTGTCAAAGTTAACAGCAGATGAATGCAACTTTACACAATCAGTATTTCAATACAGAACAGGACTACATGTGGTGACTGTGCACAGAAAATTCTTATTTCCTCAATGCAAATGTGCAGTCTGCAGCACCGTGTGGAAGCTCCTACTCGGATAGTGAGCTGCAGTGTCCATTACAAGCTCTACTCAGAATGCAACTCTCTCTAAATCAAGCATTAGAGGAAAAATAGCAGTCATTTAGGCTTAGTATGTCAGATTCGGTAGAGGATTAAAATACTAAGTTTTTTTTTTAATGTCCTGCTTCAAATTAATAAATACAAACACAATATAAAAATATACACCAGTTGCTGAGACTACAATGCACGTGCCCAGAAAGTTAAATCTCGCTCTCGTACGTATGCAGGTATGTCTTGAGGGTCAGAATTTCTGAATAACTACGGCTAGTCTTCCGGTAGAAGTCCAAACCGGTGAGATGCTCAATGTCCCGCACCCGAGCTGTGTGCGTCTTTATGAGTTCCTCTACCCACTTGGACTCATCCTCTGAGCTCTGCAAGGGAAATGAAACAATCAGATTTTTGTAGAAGAGGTTATCTAAAAGGTCATTTCCATACTTCTGCACACAGACATAAAGCGTGTGGTTCCTGCCTGACACTCCCCTAACTGAATTCCTGTCAGGAATGCACTGCAGATACCTGCCCTTGGCTTTAAACATTTTCGGCAGTAACTAGCTGGGCGCAACAAATGAGAAATGTGCTGTGAAGAGTCAGAGTTCTCACTAGGTTCTCAAGGCACAAAACAAAATTAAGAAAATCATTGACCCTGCAGAATCTGATCAGCACACACTCAACCTGGAAGGCTCTTCAAGCTCACAAGATAATCAGGAAGCTAGTGCGTATCCCAAGGCTGCTCAGAAGCCATCAACTGGATGCCCATCAACCATGCAGTCAATCGATGGCAGTGAATTACTATCTGATACTGAGATCAGCTTGAAACAGGGCAGTTGGTATGTTCAGCACTTTGGGGCCCAAAAAGTCTGAGTTGGAAATTCGGCTGCACCTTTTGCTTGTTTCAGTGACTTGGTAAAGCCCTTCCACCAAGCTCCTTTGATTCACAAGGGTATTTATTGATGCTTACTTCACAGGCTCACTGGAAGATTGAAAAAATTTAAAGGGAGAGGAAGAAAGAAAATGGGTTGATAGTAACACCACCAAAGAAAGGAAGGGAACCTTCGGCTTTAGCTGATCATATAAAATAGTCTCAATGGCAAAACTCCAGACTAAATCCACATAGAACGACAGAATAATGTATCCCATGTCTAATTTGAAACTAAAAGATACTTCAGATGTAGCAACCCTCACATCTCAAAATGATTTCAATTTGGAAAAAATGGGGGAGGACATACTGAGATCAGAGTGTCCTATGAATTAAGTCAAAATTTCTCTTTATTAGTAGCCGGGGTCATGAAGGCAACACCACTCCCTACTGTCTCTGAACTGAGATGTCCAGTGAGAATCTTTACAGAGGTTTACTGGGTGCTGGACAGCCCTCGGCTGAGAATATTCAGACTCACCCTCACCTAACTCTTGACCACTCATGAGCTCCATGAACCTGCCACTGAGGCCCATGAACCTGCAAAGGTTTTCTCAGAAAGCTCCAACCCACACAGAGCTGGACCAGGAGTGACAGCAGCCCAGGCCAAGTCTAAATATGTACCGAGAGCTTGTTGGTTCAGGAAACCAATACCTGGCCATTCCAGGCAAAACGTAGAAATGGCTTTGCAGGCAGAAGCTAGGATCCAGGCCTTTCATAACCTTCCATTTTGCCTAACCTAAACCAAGATTTCTGCAACTCCCAATAAAGTCAACCCTATTTTCATAACCTACCCTTTTGCCTAACCTAAACCAAGATTTCTGCAACTCCCAATAAAGTCAACCCTAAATTTAGCCCTCCCCACAATGCTACTGACCAGTCCACAGCACAACCATGTAATTAACAAAGTAGGAGGTCTCCTGATGGGTCAAGACCCCCTCAGGGTAAGCTAAGGTTATATTTTGGGGGAATTTTCTTATTTTGCTCTTTTCTTGGATTTTTCAATGGTCAGTGAGTCCAACGTTTCCTTTTAAAACGCAGTTATGCGAATATGTGGACAGAGTTGAGAAAGATTTCCTCCATTCAAAATCACGGCGGGCTAGATTGGAAGAATTTAAGCAAACAGGAAAAACAAACAACTTTAAAAGTCAGTAACAGAATACTAATGCAACCCAAAGCACAATCATGGTTTTTTTGGTTTTTTGTTTTGTGCTCTAGATGTTCATTCTTTTTAAAGTTTGACTTATTATTTTTTTTACTGCAATGCGTGAGTGATTTATCTGCACATATGTCTTAGCACTGCCTGTTTACAGTGCCCACAGAAGCCAGAAGTGGCCAAGCTGGGATCCAAACTCACTCATTGCCACATTCCTGCAGTGACAGGAGGATTTCCAAGGAACTGAGACAGACTTTCAATAGCTTACCATATGTATAAATGGTCGTGTGACCTTTACTTTATCTTTCAATCTAGGAGCAATTTTGAATTTCATTTTATATTTGTTTACTTTACCTCCCAACAGGTTTTTAGTAGAAGGGTGGTTTTCTTAAGGGAAGTACAGTGATGTTACAAGGGGTATTACATTCTGCTCTCAACAACCACGACTACTATCTCTTACTTTCAGTTTTCCCTTCCTCCTTCTTTCCAACCACAAGCAGGGCCTCAGAAACCCTCTGGTTCCAACACTTCTGCTTTCCAGCCCCCCTTTTAAGTGTCTAAGACCACACCCCAGGTCCAGTTCTGTGACTGCATTCTGATGAATCTTGCCAAACCCTTCTGAACGTTGTGCTCAGCCTCCTCCAACTTAAACTCCTTAATGCAAACCCTAAAATGTTGCGATTCTGAGAAAACATTTTTCTTGCTTATCTAATTGCACAAGAAGAAAAAGTCCTGGCATTCTCTACTGATATCTGCTAATTATCTTTGGAATTCAAAGCTCCCTATCCTACAAACTAACCAGCATTTTTAATAAATATAAGTTGCTTAGAAGTTAACACAAAGGCAGAAGAAAGAAAGGGCGATTAGATAACAGGAACAATATAAGTAGGATTTACAGGCAGTGCATGGACCCTAATGCATACTCAGTAAATGGTAACAATGACTTCTGCAGCTATTACAATGAGCAATAATACAACTACCATTATAGTTTTAAATTTTTGATAACAAGCAATTTTTAAAAATATCTCCCATCAATTCTTAGTCTTCTGGCTACTATCAATTGTAAAACATTATCTCCTATCAAATCCAATATTTGAGAAAAATGTAACCAGCTTCTTATAGCATAGTTTACATTTCTATTATTTCCTGAAGTTTTTATTTTGTGTCGAACAGTCATGGCCTAAATTCTTTATTCATAATTGAAGCTTTGTGCAAGAGCCATACTGCCTATGAAGCATGAATATGATAATCTTGAATGGACCAATTGTTACGGCATTTTATTTAATTTTTTGTTTTTCTGAGACAGGGTTTCTCTGTGTAACAGCCCTAGCTATACAGAAACTCACTTTGTGGATCAGACTGACCTCGAACTCACAGAGATCCAAGTGCTGGGATTAAAGGCATGGGCCACTACATCCAGCTGACCTTTTATTTCTTAATGTTGTTATTTCTGTTCTGTTCATGTTTTATTTTCAGCCTTATTTGGTAGGATGCCTAGGAGTTTATGGCTATGTCTAATGGTGCTGTACACAGTTTAGGAATTTGAGTATTGACTAACAATCCCATTTCATCCCTGTTCCTTCTATTAATGAAACAAAACCATTATCAGCTATTATTTCTAGACTCAAACTCGCAACAAACAGTTTCCATCTCAGTAAATGTGGATGAAGAGAATTTATGATTTGTCCCTGAGTTTTAACTCTGTACATATAGCATGGCCTACCTTCTTGTTGCAGGCTTTTCCTTTTCTAAAATCCCATGTAATTTATGAGTATGGGTAGCTTGTTTGCATGGATGTCTGTGCAACAGGTGTATTCCTGGTATGTCTACAGAGGCCAGAAGAGGGCATTGGAATCCTCGACACTGGAGTTCCAGGTGGTTGTGAGGCATTGTGTAGGTGCTGGGAATTGAACTCTGGTCCTCTAGAACAGCAGCCAATGCTCATAGCCACTGAGCCATCTCTCTAGCCTCTCCTAAGGGCCTTTCATTATATCTTCTGCTTCCTAGCTCTCTCTACATGAAAATAAACAATACAGGAGTCCTCTGTGCTATGAAATGACTGCTATACCTTCCCTTAACTAGTAACAAGAGATAATCTGAATAAGTGTTTTATGTATGTGTGCATGTGTTTTAAAGCTTTTATTATGAATATTTTCAAGCATCTACAAAAGAAGAAATTAATACAGTAAATGCCTTTCAACTTTTATTCTACCTTAAGTAGTATCAAAATTTTACTATTTTCCTTTTTGGTAATCCTTTTGTGAAAATAAAAGCATCTGGGTAGCATCATTTGTCAAATTGAATATATACATATAACTGTGTTAAAGTTACACATATATGCACTACACTAAGTGAAAAATACAAAAACTATTATTATCAAATATCAGGTGCCTATATATTCAATAAACTTCTATTTGGGCCATTTCCCCTTTCCATTTAGTTGGGTGACCCATGTGGTTCTTTCTTGTTCAATAGCAGAGATACAAGTTAAGAAACAGAGCTGAGTCTGAGAGCACACCCTGGAGGACTCTGGCCCTGAACTCACATTGCAGCTCTCATCATTGTCGGGTCGGTGAGGAAGGATGAAAGAGGACACAGAGAGGGGACCGTCACACTTGTCTGCAGGCTGAGTGAAATCCAGGCAGCTGGTGATGATGCTATAGTAGTGAGTTGGAACAGGAATAGAGCTGCCTTCCACATACCTGAATCAGCAAAGCAAATACAATTACAAGACATACCAAAACTTTCTCTTAAAAATGCTCACCCATGATGACACTCTCTGCTAGCCTACTTTAAAACATGATGTTCTCTCTGCCTAGAATTGTCTCCCTGCCTCTACCTGGTGCAAAGAGAAAGACATTCCAATAAATAAATAAATAAAGTGGCTGGATTGAAGAGTTGGTGGCAGTAAGGGATGATTAGAATAATGAAGTTGAGCAAAGAGCTGGAAAAGTCTATAAAAAGACAATTGTGATGGTTTGTGAGTGCCAGCTTCCAGAGTTCAGATGATATGGCTTAGGCTGCAACACTCTATTGAAGGCTTGGGGGATATGGAGTGTCAATATTAGATTTGTGTTTTAGAAAGATGACTTTCATGGGTATAGAAAATGGTCCAGAGTCACAAGACACTGGATGTAAAGGAACAGCAGCAATTTTAGTCTACACTGAGAGCCAGAACTTGACACAAAGGAAGCACCAGTGTCGAGTGTAGGATAGATGAGCCTCGTGCTATTAAATGGGATTTCTCCCGTCAAGCAAAGTATATACATTTAAATCCGTCTCCCAGCTTGCTGCTATAATTTTAATCCTTTTCTAAATCTTGAAATTAAGTGAACTTACTTTTATTTAAAAAGTATCAGAATGACCAACAGTACATGTGTAAGATGAAATTTCTCTTCTGAATTACTGAGAATTGAGTAAGTCAATGTCTATGCTATTAATTAGCTATATTTCAAAATAGCATTTTCTTGGCTGATATCTATATTATTTATACACTCTGTGCTAATTTCTGATTATTTGTGCATGTATAAATGCACTAGACCACATACTCCTTATAGGCACAGTGTTTACCTTATCTTTTTATATCCCCAATAGTACCAAGGGGAGGGAAGATAACTGAATTCAAAGACTTTATGCAACTTTCCAATAAGACATACTGATTCCAAAAGTCTCCAAATATAATGGGAATAAATTAAAATCACATTCTTTTCTACTGAAGAGTTGTTGAAGAATAATCATAATTCCAAAAATAGTATTGATACATTTTTTTCCTACCACAAAGTCAAAATGTTATTCTAACTACTAAAGCTACATTTAATCAAAGATCAAAAACAACTAAAGTTTTTAATAATAAAATTCAAAGGAAACAATTTAAGCACATGAACTGTCCTCTAGCATATGAATGTCCCTGGGTGATGTTTTAGCATTTAGGCATCTCACACAGAACAAAAAAAGAAGCTCACTGTTTGATTTCCTCCTCAGTGTCACGTAAGCCATCATAATTGTAGTCGAAAATTGGTCCACTTATTACATTGACCCCATTCCTTTCTGAAGCATACTTCTTCACCAAAACCCTTTGGAAATAAGTCCAGATACCTGTGCGAAGACACAAATCAGTTCTTCATGCACAGAAACACTTGTTTCAGACAAACTCTGTAGGACGCCTTCTTCAAGTGCTAATGTCGGGAGCCAAGAGCTGGTGACTCATCAAAACCTGTTCTCCAGTGTTACTTTTATTACTCACTATGAACTTGTAAAAGGAAAGATAAGAGAAATAAGGCGATGCTGGGGAGGCAGTAACCCTGGCCCAGGAGGTCAGGAAAGTTCCCAGTGGAGGTTAGAGAGGAGCCGAGATCTGAAAGCCGAATGGCCCAAGCAAAGGGTGGGGCAAAGCATGCCAGACAGAGCTACAGTGTGTGCAGAAGAAGTATTTTAGCCATTGGGAAAGTTAATCTTTAGAGGTCAGGCAATAAAATTTCCTAAATTCTAGGGCTAGGGAATGAAGCTCAGTTGGCACAGTGTTTTGCTAGCATACACAAAGTCCGGCCTTCACTCTCAACACTGCATATACAACATGAGGTAATAAACGACTGTGCACAGAAGCCAGGAGGTAAAGACAGGAGATCATTCTCAGCTTCACAGCAAGGCTGGGTGGAATACATCTCAATATGGGGTTAGGGGTAAGCATCGGAGGATATAGCTATGTGGTGGAGTGTGTGTCTAATATGTGTGTGAGCTCTGAGTTCAATACACAGTGCTGAAAAACAATTGGCACTTTTATGATTACATAGTCAATGGTCACCCTCTAGGGACTAACACTGGGTTTTGAAGGTGCTTATTCAATTTACAGAATCATATCATCCACAAATGCTCATCTTGTGGACAGATAATTGTTATGGTCAAAGAAGCTAAAGTAATAATTTATATGACCTTAAAAATCATCTGAATTAGTATTCTGATAAACAAGAATATTCATAATCCTCTTCTAGGTTTTCAAGTTAACATTCAGAAAACATAAGCACACTAAAGGAAAAGGATTTTCATGGCCTTTGCAGACATGTTCAGTACATAAATATAGTTGTTGTGAAAGGTGCAAGTGAACTCTAAAATTCAGTAAGATTATAAGCATTAAAAATAAGCATTAAAATAGAAAGAACTGTCGGTTAGAATGTGGTTCATTTGGGCTCTACCACTCATGACCTGGGTCACTTTTTATGATGTCAAATTCCTAATTATAAGCAAGGGCTAGGTGACTTGCCAGCTTCCCTCTCAGGCAGGTCAACTGTAGGGAATTTATATAAAAGGTCTTCAAAAGGTACAAGAGCCGAACATTTGCAAGGTATTATTAAAATCAGCATGGTGGTAAAAAAGGTAAGTGGTAAAGTTAAAGTATTTATTTTCTAAGTGATAGTAAATATTATACTTACGTTTGAAAGCAGGATACATTGGAACCATGTTGGTTACAAGGAATGCGTCATATTTAGCTTCTGGGGAAGAGCTCAGATCTAATCAGGAGAACAAACAGAATGCATTGCTTGTCCATATTGACATCAACAGAAAAGCAGTCTTTTAGGCCAACCCAAACAGCTCGAAGTCAGTGGATCTATATTTTATTTCCACTTATCCCCTCCATTGGACATTTCTGTCTTCACTCCACTCAATGGGATCCCTTCCCTCAACAGTTCTCAGAAACTTCCTACGGAGTTCTTGAGTCTACAGTTCTCTGATTCCATTATTATAACTTAGCCCCTTAAAAATGTCATTAAGATAATAAGACATAATTGTTTGTAGGAAATCACCTCTGTGGGGCTGTGCCACTAAATAGCCTCCCACCCACGCTCAGGCAAATGACTCTTATTAAACTCTGTGGGCCACACACAAAAAGAGGACATGGAAATAGGAGGGAGACTGAGTGACAAGAAGGTTCCCAGCAGGAGGAAGGGTGACAGAGGGCAGTGGGGGACAGAAATGACAGAGATATCATACAAACCTGTGAAGGTAGCAAATGAGGAATCTTTCATAAGACAGAATTAACGTCCTCCTAACTTACTGTTTTGTTCACACCCCTTATGTGAAAGAGAAGAAGTTTCCCCTGTACTTTAGATTTTTCCAGAAGAACAGATGGAAAAGCTGGTCATTTTCAGGTCCAATTTGGGGAGAATCTCAGTCCCCCACGTGCTTCCCCATGAAGAAACTGTGGACCACTGAAATGCTAACCAGCGAGCTTCAAACAACGGATTGTACCTCCCATCCCGACATGCACATGACACACACAGTGATCAGACCCTGACATGCTGCAACTTACAGGGAGGAAAAAGGAATCCATAGGACATCTGTTTATCATTTTTATAGGCCAAACAGATCTGACTGAATGCTGGAGACACACGAACATCGGGGCGAACACAGTGGGTCAGGTGCTCTGGGATGCTGGAGACCTCAGCCTGTATGTGGAGTCAGAGACACCCAGTGATGCTCTTAAGGCACAGACATTATGTTCTACTATGAACAGCTCAAACCCAAACTAGCAGCCTTCCCATCATTCATAATCTGATATTTGTGATATTTGAAAAAGTCTTCTTCTTTTTTTTTGAGACAGTTTCTCTGTGAAACAGTTTTGACTGTCCTGGAACTCATTCTGTAGGCTAAACTGGCCTTGAACTCACGAGATCCACCTGCCTCTATCTCCTGAGTGCTGGGATTAAAGGCATGTTCCACCACCACCCGACTCTAAAGTCATTTTTTTAAAATTACAATGTGCCAAAATATTATCAGTTTCTTAGTTTTCTGCCGTGGATTCAATTTAGCAAAATTTGAAGTTGAGCATTGCATAAAGTAGAAATCTTACTATTGATAAGGTCATTTAAGAACTAAAATCCATAGCTGGGCATGGTGGTGCACATATGAAATCCCACCATTCAAGAGCCAGAGTCAAGAAGACTACTCACAAGTTAATGGCCAGCCAGGTCTGTATAGCAAGTTCCAGATTAACTAAGACTGTCTCAAAAGCCAAACAACAAAATCAGCCAAATGTTCTTTCAATTAAGAGACATGTGCTGGGAAGACAGCTCCATTAGTAAAGCACTTGGCTTTCAGGCCTGTGAGACTCTTGAGTTGAATCCTCAGAACCCAAGTGAAAAGCAAAGCACAGTGGGCTCCTTTGCAATCCTAGTGCTGATGAAGCAGACTGGCTGATTCCAGCTGTTTGTTGGTCACCCAGCCTAGCCAACTTAGTAAACACTGGACTAGTGTGTGACCCTATTTCAAAAAAAATTGAGGTGAATAGTATCCGTGAGGAAACACACATATGTATACAAATATATGCATATATATATATATACATATTTATATATAAATATATCCCTTCTTTTAAAAGCCTCTCTCTCTCTCTCTCTCTCTCTCTCTCTCTCTCTCTGTGTGTGTGTGTGTGTGTTTGTGTGTGTATGCACTTGCATGTATACACACACACTAGAAATTAACAAGATTGTTGGTGAAGTAGTATTCTTGTCATTTACGTTTACAAGTTGAAAATACTTTTCTAAGTATACATACTTGATATATCAAATATATATGTACTTCAACTACAAAATAAGTTGTTCTACTCTCTGATCTGTAGCTATCTCATCCCTATAAAGCTGAAATTCTAATTAAAATGTTTTTTTGTTAAAATACAAATGGGGGCTAGAGACAGAGCTCAGCCGTTTAGAGCACTTGGTGTTTTTGTAGAGGACTTGGGTTCAGGTCCCATCATTTTTAATGGTGATTCATAACCATTCATAAATCCAGTTCCAGGGGATTCTATGCCTTAGGCAGCTGGTGCACACACATACATTCAGGCCCCCCCAAAACCCTCACACATAAACTAGAATAAGGAAACCTAACATTTTTTTTCTTGACAACTTTTAAAAAGTAAAATAAAATACAAAGAAGATGCTGAAAGTAAGGTCAGGCTGAGCATGGCTGTATCTGCGGACTCTCCCTACTTCTCACTAAGTCTGACAGCTAACTGAGAACTGCCCTAAAAATTAGTATTTGTTTAAAACAAGCAACCTTGATGGCTTCTGTAGCTATTGGGCAAAATGTAACACTTTGATTAAAAGAATAAAAAGAACTATTATGTTTCTTTCACAACTAGCATATTACAGTAGAGCAGACAGAACACTGAATAAACACTAGTTTAAAAATATCTTGCAATAAAGCAGGAAAACTGTTTCCTCCAAGACTGATACTTGAGTTCAATCACTGGGCCCAGAGTGGATGGAGAAAACCAATTCCATAAGCTGCCCGTTCACTACTATGGGCATGCCATGGCACATGTGAACTTGCATGCGTGCATACACAAAAATAAATAAATAAATAAATAAATAAATAAATAAATAAATAAACAAATAAATAATATTACAGTAGATGCAGCAGGTTTCTTCAATCAGAAAAAAAATAAGGTAAAATCTATTAATCAAAACACTCATTGTATCACATAAAGAGTATAAGCCCCAGTTTTCTCAATAACCTGCTTTGAAATGGTGTATGATGTCCAGAGAGGCATTAAGAATATTTCACTATAACCACTTTCGAAATCCGTGTGGTATAAGATATCATATCTAGTCCGATAAAGCACTGCAGGTCGTCCATACAGGAGATGTCTCTCTAAGAAACAAAGAAAAGAGAAAAAAATAAACTGTATTCAATGCATAGTTTCACCAACTGTGAACACTGGAAGAGTCGCGGTGCCTACAGTTTGCTAGCTTACTTATTAATAAGACAGCAATCAAGTTAGTTTTCCTAACACTTCTGTGGTTTATCAGTCACCTTATCAAGGGTCAAAATGCCAGCATAAATGCTATAGCTGTGAAGATGCTCTTTTGAAATTGCCACATTTAAATGTCTGTACAGCAAGGAAACATACAGTGAATTCTTAGATGAGTCAGCTACATGGAGAGCCAATAGGATTGGATTTTACAAAATTAAATGATTTGACCCCTGAAGAGGTTTATTGGGTTAGTCAAGGACTCAATGAAGAAGGCTTTCTTACCATTCTTTGCAAACTGCAACTGAAATGCACATTATTTCAGTATAAAAAGGGAGTAGTTAGCAGCTTTGTCTTTAGGCGTGGACTTAAAGGAACATGTATAGATAACAGAGGCAGGCATTCAAGAGGGTCCCTCAAGTCCAGACGAGAAGCCCATCCATATTACCAAAGAATTCACTTCAGACCCCTGAATGCAGATGGGTTCCTTTAAGGAAGACTGTCACCAAGGCCTTATTTACTCTTGGAGGTGAAAAATGAGAATCCAGGACTCAAACCTTTATTCCAACCCACAGGAGAAGCCTGGAGTCTGGCTTGTCCACTTGGGATAGACTAAACTTCCATAAATTCATGGAAACTGGCGTCCCCACACACCCACATATTTAGAGACTGAAGCTTAGCGAACTCAATTCCCTAAGTGACTTAGAAAGAAACCTACTTTTACTATAATTTTTATTAAAGAAAATCTGGCAAGCACTTATTAAATTATGTATACATGTTGCTTTAATTAAAATGCTACTCTTCTATGCAAGAAGTTGAGAAAAAAATATTTACACAATACTCTGCAAAACCCTCCCAAGTAGAACTGCTGATTTGTGGCAGAGTGGCCAATGATATCACAATGCAAGCAACTTCTGGGTAGTCTGGCTTCCTGAGCCTTGCAATAAATGGAGAAGCCTTGCTTAAGCTGCCAAACTTGGGGTCCGCCCCTAAGAATCAGAATGTACCATAATGTTATTAAATAAATAAAATCTAATAAACAAATTAAAAGCCAGCAAATCCAGCAATAGTACTTGGGGGGCCCATAAACAGACCCAGATTTTCCTTTCAAACTCAGACCAAACCTTTTCTAGGTTCAAAATTTCCATTAAGGTTTTTCTTGTTTTCATTTTTGCTGCCTCTGAATTTCCCGGTTTCAGCTGGAAGCAGAAGTATCAAAATTCTTTGAGCAGTTGTTCTCTGTCAGTTAAGTTTTATAGCTTACAAAGTGTGGAGGTTTGAATAAGAATGGCCTCCATAAACTCATATATTTGAAAGCTTAGTCATTAAGGAGAGGAATTATTTGAAAGGATTAGAAGGATTTCGAGTTGTGACCTTTTTGGAGGAAGAGTGTGACTGGGGGTGAGTGTTGAGGTTTCAGAAAGTTCATGCCAAGCTCAGGTTCTGTCTCTGTCTCTCTGCCTCTCTCTTTAGCTCGCTGTCTCTCTTCTTCTCTCTCTCTCCTGCTACCTCTGGATCAGAATGAAACTCTCAACTTCTCCAGCACATGACTTCCCACCATGTTGGTAATGGGCTAAGTCTCTGAAACTGTAAGCCAGCCCCAAATAAGTGTTTCTTTTAAAATAGTTGCCTTGTTCACAGTGTCTCTTCACAGCAACAGAACAGTGACTACGACACCGGTGTATTCCTCCAGGCTCATACTGAAGGCTGTTCCCTCCTCTGTCCCATGCAGCGTGGGCTATATGATCTGGTATCTGCACAGCGTGATGGAAAAGCTGATGAGACATGTTACAGATAGGGATAAACTAGCATGTGAAAAGGCCTTTATAGGGTATAACATTAAACCAGTGTGATGTACACAGTGGTTTTCATCTGTTGCCCTTGCATAACTGTTAACAACCAGAAGTGTTTTAAAGAAAAACGTGCAAGAGACATGAGGAAAAGGGAGATGAGGCGTGAGATTGGCAGGGGGGCCCCAGGAGTCTCCCCAGGAAGCCACTCCATCTCTATCCGCTCTTCGGTTCAACCCACAAAGATTGGTTTTGCTTCAGAAATCAACTCCGCAGCTTCAAGCTATTGACACAGCTGCAGCTTTTTGAACACAGTCAGAACACAAACATATCATTATCTCATTTGCTTTTTTGTCAATTCTTATCGAACTTATGAAGAAAAAGCACACAAGGATACAAACAACATCCCAAAAATCCAACCCAAATCCCCACCTGGCTCTCTAGAAATCTAACCAGCTCTCTTTGTAGTTTAATAACTCATGCAAGGAAGAAGAGACATCGTCTTCCTAAGAAAAATGAGTTTTGAGATTTGGAATCAGGATTTGGGTTTTACTTTTTCATTGTCTGCAAATCACGGTCCAGACATGGTCCAGCTGTTAGTCTTGGACATCTCAGGGAAGCACACACTGCATTTCTCCTTTACAAAAGGCTCCTACTCTGACCACAAAATGGCCTGGACTCTCAGACTTCACACATGCTAAAATATTTGTCTCAAGGTCAGCCCACAAGCTCTTTTTCTGCAACATACTCTCCTGGTTTCACTTTTAATTTTCCTGACTTTGATTTCTAATCAACGTAGAGTATTGACATTTTGAATATTTAATTCTGAAAAAAATTTTAGAAATTTTTACTGGGCATAATTGTTGTATATTTTTATATTTGTAATGGTCAGAT